CGCGGAGCTATTGTTGAAAGCTGATTGATTTTCTGACACATATGAGGTCCGAAGGGGAACCAAGGGTATAGAACCCCATAAAATTGTATGCTCTTTCATTCTAGATACCTTTCGAGAAGATCTGAAACAGAGCCGATCCTCGTTCTTATTGCACCCCGTCCTTTGTAATCGTTTCGAGCAACTGTCCTAATCTCATTTTTGTATGATAATAAGAAGTCATTCGATACATCTCTAAAGGGAACATTTTTTTTATTGAAAATCATTATGTCATTACGATTATGACAGAATTCGTTTCGTATAACAAATATTATTCTTATCACAAAAATGGTGTTCAAAAAATTTAAAAATACAAAAAATATAATTAAATAAGCGAATAAATTACCTGTTACCTTGTATGATACGTTGTGAAAGTTCGTCACGATCGATCGTTTTTCAAAAATAATATATTCAGAAATATTTAAGATGATTAAGCATGTTTTGACAGGATGAAACGCATCCGCATGATGCGTTACATCCGCTGCCAAATTTAGGGCAAGAACAGAAACGGTTCGAGCATCCTTTAGTGCAGTTATACTTCTCCTTTTTTCCGTTATTTGGATTTTTCTCTGTTATTCGACCACTCATTCGACCCACATTTGCTTGTTCTTCTTCATCTAAATCTCTTTCATCAGACATCGTCTATGGTTCTGACTGCACACAATATAAATAAAGTCCTCTAAAAAGAAAAGAGTAGCTTACTGAAAAAATTGCTCAAATAGAAAAACGGCTTAGCATAGAACTTCCTTGTTGAACGCGAAAGATCTACATTTTGGCTTTGTATGCTTTAAAACGAAATTCGTTCATCCGTAAAATCTGGCATCTGACTTGAACATAGCAACATTAAGATATTTCTTCAACTCTCCATCTCAATCAAACTCTCTTTGGCGTATAACAAAAAATATTATGTCGCTGGTTTGACGATGTATATATTGCGATGTAAGTTAAGAATTTCACTGTTTTTTTTATGCAGATAAAAATCTAGTACGATGATATTATATAAATTCAGTTAGAGTTGCATATTGTAAGAAAATGTTTGATTATATACTAAAGCGTACAAAGAACTGATTTTTTTCACACTATTCTCACTAGCAATATGGGCTATTCTGCCATTTCAATAGAATTATACAGACCGGTACTAGAATGATAATCTGGTTCATTGCGCTCAAATTTTTTATTTATTTTATTAGATAATGAAATAATATGTAACGAAAGAAGGTAAAACACTTTGTAGAGCAGAACATTCGCTACAGAATGAGCATAGACTGGAGTCTTAGAATCTCAGTTAAGTGCTTAGAAAGAAGGGAACACAGGTGTGTCATTATTTCTGACCATCGGTTATGTCTATTTCCACAGTGATTATTGAAGAATGTTGAACAATTTTTCGCTGATTATTTATTGGAACTCTACGTCACATTTTGTCTAAGCTTTCTAAGTAGATAACCAGTTATATTGAGCATTAAGAAAAACGAACCTGTGTTTGTATTTGACTTTACTCATAAACAGTATCAAGCTTTTAGGTAGGTCGTTGATAATAGTTGTCTGACTATGTTCGATAATTGAATAACGGATTAATGAGCGAAAGAAATTATACATGAAAGATGGAACTAAGGTTCATTACCACTTTAATCAAGTTAAATTTCGTGGCAAGCAGTGCGATGCAGCAATTTATCTGTATTATCCACATGACAGTGATACAGTTATTAATACAGTAATTGTGTAATTAGATTTTTTCCTTATACATTTATGTTGTTTTACTTAACAAAATTAGTTTGTTTATCAAAATATATGTAATATTTTGCTTAGAAAAATAATCTTTTTTATTTGAAATTTAAATAAAATACTTAAAAAAAAATAATTTTTACTTACAATTCTTTGTAATAAATTACTTACGAGGAAACTCATGGACATGCATCCCTCCGTTTTCATTCATTTATACGTCGGTCTATAGAGGATATCGAGGTTGTAAAAGACTAAAAAGGATTCGGGCCGACGGCTGTTCCTTCGAAAGCCAGAGGCATTTTTCTGTTTTTCCAGCCCAAAACAGCTGTAAGAAACAGCTGTTTGCAGACCGAAGTTTTTGCTGAAAAATCTAAGTTGTCTAAAATTCTGAAGGAAAGATTGATCAATGCAGTTTTTAACGCTGATTCGAAATATGATGTTGGTTTTGACAAAAAATTGAAACTTGATGGTGAAAACGTTAACTTACAGCTACTTGTCGCTGGAAAAACAGAAAAATGCCTATAACTTTTGAAGGAAAGGCCATCGGCCCGAATCCTTTTACAGCCTCGATATCCTCTATCGATCGACGTATGAATGAATAAAAACAGAGGGGTGCATGTCCAGAGGTTTCCTCGTTAGCAAGCAAATTCTAACTTTTGCCTTTATCGTTTTTTTTGAAATATACCCTATGATATCAGAACTACTATGAAATCAGAACTACGTATACTAGACCAATTTAATCTATCTGAATTTTAATATAGCCTGTAACATATATATGTGACATGTCTGTTACATACTATTATTGCGGACTTGTTCTTGTCTTTTTTCTCATTTTACTATTCAGTTTTGGAAAGCAGGCGTGTCGTGGAGTGAGAGTTAGTAAAAGAGTGCATGTATTTGAAAATATGCACTCCGAGTACAGCTACTCTGTAGAGCGGAATTTGATGTGTGAACAGACAATTTAGAACTTTATCAGTTGATTGGTTTGGTAGAGTTAGGTGGTTATCGAACAGATACGTCTTTTGAGTCCTTTGAACTTCTTCACTTGTTTGTAGAAGCAAAAGAGTGTACTAGAAGAATAAGTGCTTTGGAGTGCGCAAAATCATGTTTCAGAGTGAGAGAAGTAACTGCTAAATTTAGCAGTTACTAATAATTTCTTACCATTATTATAATTAGCAACAACAGCAACGGTGCCAGCAGCAACAAGAGGATTTTCATCTGAACCATGTAAGAGAAAGAGAAGTAGTTATTAATGAAAACTAGGATAATGTTTTGAAAAAGTGTTTTTTACCGTGAACATTGCTAAATGCATTATGGCTTGTATTAAAACTATCTAAAATCAATAAATATAAAAGTTATCACAAATTTGAGAAATAAATTATATATTTATCATTATTATCGGTTGAAATGTGGTTTCGTGCTAGCGCGTTTAGCCCTGAATCAAATATCTGTATTATGAAGGCTTGTGCAAATATCTATTAAGTAACTTAATAGATGTTACTTAATGTTGACTTAGATGTTACCTCAGAGTTGAACTGGAGTTGAGATTTTTGTTGAGAGAGTTGGAGTTGGAGCTGAAAAATTTTGAGCGGAGCTGGAGTTAGAGTTGGAGTAGGAAATTTGAAAACGGAGTTGAGTTGGAGTGGAATTGGAGCTAAAAGTCAGCGGAGTTGCCCAGCCCTGGTTAAGTTTGCTTACCATCGAACTGAACGTCAAAATTATCAAAAGCAATATCAATGCCAACATCATTATCTAAACATCGAGAAAAAGACAGAATTACTCAGAATGAAAATCCAAGAATCTACCTCGATAAACTGCAGCAGCATCTTGTTCATCATCATGAACGTTACCATTTCCATTTAAAACCCCATCATCTAGAAAAATGATAATATTTATATATAATATAATCCTGCTGCATACAAAAATAATGTACTGAAATATTGAGCTAAATAGAATAAATGTCAAATTGAGAAGTATTTTAGCGGCACTCTCTACGGATTTTTTCTCTACTTTGAAAACTAGTCTAGAATCGACAAAAAAAACAAAAAACCATTTGTTTTGTATTGGTGATTTATCCTCAAAATACTCCCAGCATAATAAGAAATTGTTAAGTCTTCCTTTTTCTTCAGAGTTTTACTCAAGTTTAACTAAACGTTTCAATGAATTAAAATCTTCATCAGTAGTTAACAAAATAAAACAACAAGTTATACAAAAACAAAGTTTAGAACAAACTAAAGTCTAAAATTAATAGATTAATTAATTTCAATTAAACATTAATAAGATTATGAAGAAAAAGGGAGGATTAACAATTTATCAAATATTCTCAACTTCGTACACATTAAACGGTAAAAAACGCATGTTAAAACGTATATTTTCAGTTTGTTTTTTAAAAAGTATCGATTGTTTTGTCAGTATTCTTACTTTGTCGTTTCTATTTACAGTATGCGCCACCAGAAGGACAAATTTTCTTTTTAACGTTGGTGCAATAACAAAATATTATTCCGCGAACCTCATTCAAACTCGTTCCGAGCGGCCGGGAAAAAAGGCTCTTCGACCGATCTCCTTTTTTCCCTTGACAGATGGAACCCTGAAGTTGAATCCATTCGAACTGCCACATCGCGGAGCACAACCCCAAGTATCCTTTTTCTTGGGATATTGAATTTCCATTAAAACATTGCGGTGTTCATCTAAAATCGAAGGGGTCCTTTTGCAATAGCTTTTTCATTTCTTCATACCTATGTTTGAAAACTATACTGTTGGATAGCCCTTGAAATTCTCTACAAACTGAGCTAGTCAGACAATCTCGATCGGTGG